CAGGCGGTGCGGTGGGGCGGGTGATGAGTGGTTGGGGGGGCAGGAAGGGGCTCTGGGTTTGAGGGGGGCTCAGGGCTGGGGCAGGGGATTGGGGTGCAGGGTTACCTCTGGCAACTCCCAGTCAGCGGCGCAGCAAGGGTGCTAAGGCAGGCTTTCTACCTGTCCTAGCACCACGGACTGAGCTTGCCCTGGAAGCAGCCAGCAGCAGGTCTGGCTCTTAGGTGGAGGCACGCAAGCAACTCCATGCAGCTCTCACCCACAGGCACTCCTCTCCCCACCCCCCGCCAATGGTGCTCAGGGCTGGGGCAGCTCGCAGGAGCCAGACCTGCTGCTGGCTGCTTCTGGGTTGCAGCCTGGTGTCAGAACAGGTAGGGACTAGCCTGCCTTAGCTGGGCAGCACCGCCAATGGGACTTTTGATGGCCCGGTTGGTGGTGCTGACCAGAGCCAACTTGACCCAGTGCCTTACATTCCGCGACCCAGTACTGGGTCGCGACCTGCAGTTTGAAAACCACTGATGTGAGGTATCATTGGAAAGGTTATGATTTACTGAATATGATTAGCTATTTGTATGCATGTGTCATTTCTGTATCTGAAGTTAGGAATATTGACTATGTAACAATTACAAGTGGGTTTGTACCTGGGGAATGCCCACCAGACAGAATGCAATGAGTCTGGCTAGTTAGTCAATAGGCCATTAGGGAGAACAATAGGACTTTGCAGATGCTAATCTCCCACCTTCCTGGGACTTCTTCCTGAGGATTTATGGCTGCTTTGACACTGCAGGATCATGTCACTTGGTACTGGACTCCATTTTGGACTGCTAGTATTTTTCCACTAGTAGTGGGTTGGGATCAAACTGGGAAACAAAGGATTCCTGTCATATATAAATCCTATTTAAGGGGAATGAGTTAATCAGGGTCGGTTCTTCACTGAATCGCTGCCCTAGATGACTGCTAAAAACACCTATGACTGATCTGGGGAAGAAGGGACTGGACCCGGGGAAGAAGGTGCCTGGCCTGTGAAAGGAGTACTTGTAGTTCTAAGCTGCAAGCAAGACCAGTTTGTCTTCAAGAAACTCTGCAACCTGCTTAAAGCAACATTTAGGGTGAGAAATTACTACTTGTAGACCGTTTCTTTAGTGTACTAAGCTTAGTTTGCGTGTTTGCTTTATTTGCTCAGTAATCTGCTTTGATCTGTTTGCTATCCATTATAATCACTTAAAAATCTATCCTTTGTAGTTAATAAATTTGTTTTCTCTAAACCAGTTTGTGCAATTCATAACTGCGGGGCAAAAAGCTGTGCATATCTTCCTCCACATTGAGAGAGCGGGCGATTTTCATGGGCTTACGCTGTACAGTTCTCTGTGCAGCACGAGACAATACATTTTTGGGTTTGCACCCCAGAGCGGGTGTGCACTTGAGTACTGGGCAATCCCCTAGCTGATTCTTCCCATGCAGAGCTGATTTCAGTGTCTGTGTCTGTCTTTCTGCAGCTGGGCATGTCCCTACCTGTGTGTGTGCTGGAGGCAGCTTGAGGGCCTGGCAGAGCAGGACAGGGTGAGGGAGCCCAGGCTGGTGGGACTCCAGTACATCAGGTGGCACCCTGGAGTGGAGGGTAACCTGTCACACACAGGTTCTTTTCCTACACATTGTAGAAAGGTGCATAAGGAAGTGATCCTCCTGTTCCCTAGTGTGATTTGGTGGTCTGTAGCCAACACCAACTAGTACCCTATCTTATGCTTTTGGTGTTCGGACTTTGATCCATAAGCCCCCAAGATAATTTTCTTCTCAGTTATCAGTGACTTGGAAACAGGTAATGCCATTTTTGGCATAGAGTGCTACTCCCCATCCTCTCTCACTCACTTGATCATTTCTAAATGGGCTCAGCACAGGTAATAGTACTAGTGGGCAGCAGTCCACATCACAAAAACTGTCACCATGATTGGTGCTCATGGATATAGAGGCCAGCAAGGGTGACAACTAGTATGTCATTGTACAACTAGATACAATTGTCCTTTCCCCTTACCCCCTAGAAGTCCCACCAGGTTACACTGGAAGCACTTTGGAGAGGAAACTTGCATTATCCTGTCCATGTCATACTATACGGTGGATAAATAGAAGACTTCAATGTCCAGAGCTGTCAGTTTCCTTTCAGAAACACTGCATTAACAACAACAAAAATGTTGTAAAAGTTAAGAATGGTCAATAAGTCTGGTTTTGGACTTTGTTGTATCTATAATGTTAAACTGGAGTGAGTCTACTTATGTTTATTTTATGTTTATAAATATGTATATTTGGCTTTGAGACATAGGGAATGTTGATGTTTGTTGTACAGTTTGCGAGAACACTGAACAGTTTGAAATGAAGTTGCCCAGCAGTTTCTCCCCTTTATTACTTTTTTAGGTAACAGAAAAAGACTGAAATGTGGAGTGGGGAAGAAAGAGTTGTTATGAAATAGGACTCATTTCAAGCTAAGCCTTTTTTATATTCTCTCATTTTGAGGGCACCATGAGTTGGCTCAAGGGTGGATTCTCCAGTGCTGGACATTGTTCTGACTTGAGAGCATCTGCATGTCGGGTGTTGGGGCTGTCTTTCCTATATGGTCTGGTGACATGCATTTAATCAGTGCCTCTTTAGGATTGCAGGAGTGGGGAAAACAGGCCTTTGAACTAAGGTAAAAGGCAGTGCCATTCTGTAAATAGGGCATCAGGAAGTGATTGGAGTTGACCTATCTCCCAAGCCTAAATGCTTCTTTTCATTTCTTCTCATTGTACCAGCCTGGGGTGGGACTCCAAGTGCCTCTTTCGTCTGAACCTTGCTCACATTGACACGTCATTATCAACACACATTCTGTATGTATTCGTAAATGCTGATTTTTCTCCTTTTGTCTGACTGTGTGCTAGGTACCCGAATCATCTACGACCGTAAGTTTCTGTTAGATCGCCGCAATTCCCCCATGGCTCAGACCCCACCATGCCATCTCCCAAATATTCCAGGAGTCACCAGTCCTGGTACCATGGTCGAGGATTCCAAAGTGGAAATAAACAATCTGAACAATCATGACAGGAAGAATGCAATGGGTAAGAGAGACTGGGTGATGGTAGTGGTTGATACTCTGGTTAATTTCTTTATAGCTCCCTTATTTGTGATTTTAGCAGATCTTGTGTTCAGATATCATGGTGATGGGCTCATTACATATAAATATCTGCAGCCTGAAATTTAATATGTAGGTTTCCTTTCTCAGAGTGTATTTTTTTTTTTCCGTAATAGTTCAGTAATTGTTGTTTAAGTCTCACGGACAGCAAAAAAGACTCGTCTGGTTTCAGAAATATTTAACTTAAATATGGCTTCATTTTCCTCCTCCCCTCCCGACCCCCCTTGAAGCTTTGTATCCTGAATCTGTCATATGAAATAATACGTTTAGAGGGTTTTTATATATCTGTTAGGGATGTAAAATATTAACGGGTTAACCAGTAAGCATTAGGCTTACCGGTTAACTGACCTTAACAGTTAATTCATGGACCGCTGGCTGGATTGTGGCTGCGCTGGCTGGACCCTGGCCACGCAGCACCACACGCTGCGCCCGACCCCACCCTGCCCTGCCAGCCAGCTGACCAGCCCCAGCCCCGTCTTGCTGCCCAGAGAAACCCCAGCCCCTCCCCCTTTAATCGGTTAACCGTTTAAACAATATTTACATTCCTAATATCTGTAAGGATTTTATACTGCCATCCATTGCTCCTAAGCATCTTCCATAGAAAATTGTTGGCCATAGCGAAGTCCCTAGTGGACTTCGAGATGTTTTTGTTACTTCTCCCTCTTTTGGGTAAAATTTGTTTAGGTAAAATGTGTGGGTTTTTTTGTTTGTTGGTTCAGGATTTTTTATTTTTTAAGCAGGGAGCATTTAGGTAGATGGGAGTGTCAGTGTGCATCCCATTCTTGCCATGGTAGAAAAGCTTTTAAAAAAAACCCAGAAAGTACATTTGAAGATCAAAAACTCCTATGTATACAGGGATGTGATTAAACAAGTAACTGTTTCCTGCTGTACCCTATCTCCCCATAGACCACTGGGTGGCTTTCAAACTATCTTTCTTTTTCTTTTCTTTTTTAATGAGATGTGGGTAGCAAGAGTCAAAGCTCATAACTTCAAGGGACAAAGTGTCTTTTGCAGTAATATAGCTCTTTATGTGTTCATAGGACTGTATATGCATTAATTAATATTTAGCAATAACTAGGACATTTGCATTGAAGTCAAGGCTGTTACTGATCTTCATAGGACCTTTTACAAATAAAGAACCTAAAATAAATTGATAAAAATTTGTGACATTTTGGTGATTATTTTTTTTTAAGGCTGCCAACTTAAACCAATGATTACTGAGACAGGGCTGTGCACTCTGTCCTTAATGCATACTGTAAGTGATTGCAGCATCTCCCAAGAAGAGCATGTTCTTCCATAATGGATTATCTGATTTGCCCTATCTACTGCGCAAGGTTAATTATGGGAATTAAAACTACCATTATATTATTTACCAGAAGATACGTTAGGAAATAGCATTGGGAGGTATATTGGGATTGTCTTTCCTCTTGAGGGCTTTCTGAGATCTCCCTCTAATGTGGCTCTCCTTTTTCTGTTGCCAGGGGATGATGCTCAGTTTGAGATGGACATCTGATTACCCCAGAGTGTAACCATGGAGAGGCAGCAATTCCTGATACCTGTGCATACTCGATTCTGCTAATCGGATCAGTAACTGAAAGGTGGAAGAGGCGGCGGTAGCAGCAGTCTCCATCAGACTCCCCACCTCATCTTCAAAGTGCCAAAGGATAAGAATCTAGCTCCCCAATCCTGCTCTTCTCCCCCCCCCCTCCTTTTTAACTCCCATCTCCCTGCTCTGTGACTGAATGGATGCCCTTGTCAAATTATACAGAGCTGAGGAACACTCCGAGTGGAACCTTAGCATCTCGCACTTTAGAGGCACCCTGTCAAACCATACACAAGCGAGAACGTACCTCCATCACCAATTGGATATTTATTGCAAACAGCAAAGGGGCCAGGGACTGGTGGATTTATGCTAAGTGGAGATGGCTTTTTCTGTGTTCCCCTCCCTTCAGCCTGATCCCAGCTCACAAAGGGCTTATGTTTGCACAGCAAGTAACCAGTTGTAATATGGTATCTCAAATACTTTTGATCACTCGCATTTTAGAAACTACAAGGAATAGTGGGAGAACGGGTAAGAGTCTCTGCTCAGTCTGAGTTCCTTTTCCTCAGTGGGCAGAGCACTCACTTGAGTAACTCTGGGGGAACCTGGGTACTAGTCCCACTTGTGACCTTTCTCCATGACTCTGTGTGCCCTGCAATGTAACATGTTCTCTCTTCTGGAGACGCATAACCTTAATTCATTTGCTCTTGTACCTCCTTGCTTTCCATCCCGCTGACAAACTTTTTGATAATACTTCTTAATGTTATGTGTATTTAATGGAAGCTGTCAGTTCATTATACTGCTGATTCCTCTTCCTTTCTTTCCATCCCAAAGGAATGTCACCCAAAACTTCTCACTTTCAGAAACTTAACCCTTTATTCCCTGAGTACTTTAAATGCTAAATCAAATGCTAAATCAAAACTTTTTTTTTTCTGGGATATGGGGGAGGGGTATCTTATATTATCCTCAGGACTTCCTCCATTTTTGCCCTTTTGCCCTTGTTAGTTTCTCCTGATTTCTTTGCTGGTCCACATAGACTGTTATATTGAAGGTACTACAGTAATGGTTAATTTCCAACATCCCCCATCTCTCTTGCATTAGGGGGAGTGTTTTTCCCCACTAACAGTTTTAATGAATACACTTATTAAATGTTTATAGTTTCAATTTTAAGACCTCCCATCAGAAGGGAAAAAGCGAATGTCAACAAGCACTCTCTGAGGAACAGTGGGCCTGCTTCTCATCTTACACCATCCTTCCATTCATAGTTCACTGTGCTCCTTTCAATCACTGGCTCCATTACTTTTCCTCCAAGATCCTTTGTTGTTAACTTTTATGTTCACTGCTGGGGTGTATATTGGCTGACTTGTAAAATTGAACATTCGCCTGCATGGGTCATTTTTGGTTCCACACTGTCCAGTTTTGCTACAGTCCATATCTTGCCAAAGGGATTAGCTGGACTAGTGTGGATTTTGACAAGAGTGTAGTGCTTCTGGCCAATTCCTGTCTGGCCTTGCCACTTGAAAGTTCTTGATGGGTTTGATTTAGTTGCTGAGGGCATCACTCAAACTGTAGCTGGACTTGTTTCCCATTGCCCCGCTTGCTGGGAGACTGCGTATCTGACATGTGAGTCAGAAATTTACACAGCTCAGTTATAAATTGGAAAAGACCGTTTTCTCTTTTGGTATGCAAAAGGGACACTTTCCTGGTAAAATACTACTTTGGGGAAGGAAGATTTCCTCAAAAACTCATTTTCCCCCTCTTCCCTTCAAAATGTGAATAACACAGGAACAAAAGCTCTTTGTAATGTTTGATCTCTCAGGAATAAACTCTTTAGTGTATCTGGGAAATGCAGGGTCTCCTTAAAGCTTGGTGATGGCCAGAAACGTGACTAAAACTACACCTCTATGTCCTGTATTTATTCTCTGGCATTATTCCACCTATGTTTAGTATGAAGGATGCTATAGAAAGCTCAGTTGTACTTTGTGTCTCCCAGATCCAATTTGTTCAGTTCAGATATTCCTAAAGTGCACTACAAGTTCTGCCTCATGTTGGAAACTGTTTGCCTTTTTTTTTTCCATTCTGCTTCATGCATCATCACTAACAATAGTTGCTGGAATTTAGCAGGTAGTTTTGTTAATAAGGCAGAACAGAATCCAGATTTGCTCTGTAGTGCTGATAATAGTAAAAACTTGGGTTTGTCAGTGAACTAAGCAGAGTTGATTTGGGAGAAACAGGAAGAAAAAATGGGCAGTGACGAGGTATCATTAGTCACTTTTCTCCTCATAGTGATACATTTTGTTTTGTTCGTAACTTCTCAGCTTTTCAAAGCACTGCATAGGCGTTCAGCTATTTAACTCTTTTATTATAAGAATTGTGCTGCTAAAATCCTGTTGCAACACTGAAAATGTATCCCTAAGTGTACAGTGCAGCAAGAGCTTCCATTATGCAACAATCCTCTTAGCTGTCAGCTGGAGAAATCATTCTGACTTTTGTCAACTTGAGATGTATTTTTTTTTTAAAGTACCCAAGGTAAGAAACAAGCATCCAGAGAGGAAAGGATGGTCTGGTAGTTGAGGCATTGGAGTAGGATTAGGAAAATCTGGGGTTTGTTTCTGGCAATGCCACGGTATTCCTGTGTGACCTTGAGCAAATGACTTAGTCTCTCTGTGCTTTAGTTTCCCATCTGTAAAATAGGGATAACAGCATTTCCCCATGTCACAACGGTGTTGTGAGGATAAATTCATTAGTATTTGAGAGACTGTCAGATACAATGGAAATAGAGGTTATAGGAAAGCATAAAAATATATTGTTTTTAAAAAGCACAGGAGGATGTCATGAAAGTGGAGATTGTGTTAAAAGCAACAGCATTTTGTGCAGTGTTAGGTCCCCTACTGACTTGTGCTTTATCTCTTCCTCCCCTTCCCCCCCAACTTCCCTGGACATGCTGTGGTGCCATGAAAAATGGTGACTGAATAAAAATAGTGCACTCAACAAACTCTCACTTTGCTAGACAGTTGGATAAAGAGTTTTCACCTATTTTGGTCAGTGCAGTCCCGGTAACCTTAATGCCCTGTAAGAAGCGATTCCACACAGTCATACTCCCACACTCACACTTTCAGTTTGAATTTAGATTTTGATTAAAATCTGCATTTCTGTGCCTCCTGCTGCTTAACGCTCTCTTAGGTGATCAATTGCATCTGCAGTGTGGGATGGAACCTAACGTACCTTCCACCTTGGTGTCATCCTAGTTGAACAATCAAAATCTGAATTCAGTCGTTTGCCATTTAAAATTACACCATTAGCTTAAAAACAATTTATGTTAACATGTCATGTCCTGTTTGTCAGTAAAACTGATACAAAATATAATTAATTTATTTTTATCCATTAATTCGTGTTTACTATTTCCACTACACTTAGCTTTGGAACATAAGAATGGCCAGTCTGAGCCAGACCAAAGGTCCATCTAGCTCAATATCCTGTCGTCCAACAGTGGCCCATGCCAGGTGCCCCAGAGGGAATGAACAGAACAGGTAATCATCAAGTGATCCATTCCCTGTTGCCCATTCCCAGCTTCTGGCGAACAAAGGCTAGGGACGCCGTCGCTGCCCATCCTGGCTAATAGCCATTTATAGACCTATCTTCCATTAACTTATCTAGTTCTTTTTTGAACCCCGTTATAGTCTTGGCCTTCACAATATCCTCTGGCAAGGAGTTCCACAGGTTGATTGTGCGTTGTATAAAGAAATACTTCCTTTTCTTTGTTTTAAATCTGCTGCCTATTAATTTCATTTGGTGACCCCTAGTTTTTATGTTATGAGAAGGATTAAATAATACTTCCTTATTTACTTTCTCCAGTGAAAGTGGACAATGAAAATATTCAGTTACTACTTAAGCACCTCAACTGCAGGGTAACACTTAAATCCAATCTAAATGCTCTGTTTGTTAAAACTGAAGGGAAGGTAATAAAATGTTCAGTTTTGTAAATTCTTTATTTTATTAAACCTAAATTTTGCACTTAAATTTTTGTGTCCCAGACATTACAGATCAGATCTTTCCCTGCATTAGGGCAGCTTTGTCTCACCCCATCAGTGCCCTTTTTAACCAGTTTTAGGCTGCTGCAGGATTCTCCATGCATAGTGAGGTCCATGGCAGTTCTTATACTCCCCCTGCTCCTTGCATTCAGCACAGGGGACGAGGTTAAGGCAACCCTTGGCTACTGTATTGGCCCCTTGACAGCTAAAACAAGTTAGAGTAGCCCTTAGACTGCTCTAATTTGTGCTTTGGGACTAGCTCAGAGATTGGGGAACAGCTTCCTCCTTACCTAATATGCTCAGCTTTAATCCTTATTTTTAACCATTAAAACATAGGGCCTGGATGATGCACTGGGTTAGTGCAGGAACCTATTCACCTTCAGGGACCTGGGTTCAGATTCTATCTCTGACTATAAATAAAAATGAATCTAGCAGGTTCATCCTAATTCCTACTACTCCACTTCATAAAACCGCAACCCAGTAGCTTGGTTTATGCTAAGGGAATTCCAACCACTTGTCACTTTGGCTGGAGCTGTCCTGTAGAGCAGGCTCCAGGTGCCCTGAACCATTTTTACTAAATTCATTTCACAGCCTGCAGAATGCGCTTTTTTTAAATCAGTTCAGTGAACAGTTCAAACTGTCTGGGGCCTGGTCTACCCTATGGCTCCAAAATCGGTTAGCTGAACTAGTTTTTAAAACCAGTTAAGCTTTTTGGGAAAACTTGCCCAGCATAGACCAGACCAGTCTGGGATGATGGGTGGCTGCTGCTCAGGAGAGAGACAGGATGAAACTGCTGAGTGGGGGATATCAGCAGAGCTGCCTCAAGGCAGCCCTATCTAGAGCCAGTCTCACTCTGTGCCTGGCTCTAGATAGGGCTCTTAGTCTCCCTTCCATGAGTATCAAATTCTGACATTATTAAAAAAACAAACAAGATGGATGTACTGTTACGGCATCCTTCCCTCCAGTACTGCTTTGGGCACACATGGTGGATGGTGATAGAATATGCTATAAGATGATGTCTGCCTTCGTTTCATTAGCCTTTTCCATTGTGGCATTGTTCCGCAGCAGCACCGTGCCCAGAGCCAGCCCGGCCCCTAAACACTCCGGCCCCTTGAGAGAAATCACACATTTCAAAACAAAACAAAAAAACCCCTCTCGCCTCTCAAATGACCCACTGTCTTAGCAGGCATGGCCAGTTTTCCCATTGGCTTTGGTTTGGTCCTTCTCCATGCTGATTTTTGTCTTGAGGGGGCTTAAATACTGTGGTTTCTTTTTTAAATGAATTAAACTGAACAGTAACACAGGGAACTCAAAGATGCAGTGTTGGTTGTTTAGACTTAATTAGGTTTAAATTAATTTCTCCTCCCCTCCCCACCGCATCTTTGCTCTGAGGAAGGCATGCAGAGCTTTGAAAGAAGGATCACAGCTTATGTAAGAAGACATTGATTGATGTAGAATAATAGTGACTTATACTATATAGAAGGAAACCTGCAATGAACCTACACATCTGAGAATGACCATCATCTCACCTTGATTTTCCATCTAACCATTGTCAGTTTTTCCTGATTTTGAGTTTTATGCTTTTAATGAAAGCCCAGGCTCCAATCCTGCACAGCACCGATCACTGTGCTGGTGTGAAACCTCACTGAAGGCAATGGGGCTCTGCACAGGTGCTGGAGTCTGTTAACAGAACTGGTTGCAGAAGTGCGGCTATCTACAGCATGGGATGGGGAAGGGTTTCTCTATGGGGGTTTTGTTTCCTAGAGGTAGGTTAAGGAGTGACATTGTTTTGGATTTAATCTGTTAATCTTCTTGCATATAGTATCATGTCAGCTACTTTTGATGGTGGTTTGTGTGCTGAATTGACTACACTGAAAGCAGCATTCCTCTCTGTGCCTGAGTAAAGGTCCACTTCTGAAAATACTTGCCAGCTGCTTTACAGTGCCAAGAGCTATGAGACAATTACCAATAAGCCTTTGTCACAAGTGTCCAGGGTGTACAAAGCTTTAAAAAGGAAACCACCACTTTTTTAAGCTTTGGTATCGGCAATTGAGCGCTTCCATTTTGAACTAACTGCTTAATCATCTTATTGTTCAGCCTTTGTTTACAGTAATTCTCCTCTGGACCTGTGTGCCAGTCCTCTGAAACTGACCTTGGGGAGAGGAGGGAAGGATAAAATAGCTTCCAGTTACACCCTGCCCAGTGGGTGTCTGTTTTGCAATGAGCATTCTCCTTTCGTCTCTAGATATTAGGAGTCAAATGTGGTTTAGTTTTCAACTGAAATGAGTTGTTGGTATCAGTCCTAGGCCTGGTGGCTGTTTTGGGCGTCTGCACTATGTATGACTGGCAGTATGTGCTGGGAAGCAGCCAGAAGTGCTACTGGTCACACATTTATTCTTATTATAAATCAGGTGTATTAGCAGATGTGGGGGAAGCTTGAACAGCACTTTCCTGCACGCTGCCTTCTGTGCCTGTCATGTCTATTTGCTGTTAAACATATCATTTCCACCACGAACAGAAAACGTGCCAGGTGGCATGGAGCACAGCTCATCTTTCCCCTCCCCTCCCTAGCGGTCTGTGAACTGAAAAAAATCCCAATTTTTTCATACATTGACTATTTGCATTCAGGTTCCATCATTTAGAGTCAGCAGCACTGGGCTTCTTTCCATGCTGTTGAAAAGACAAATGTAATTCTTGCATATGAGTTCCTTGTGGTATAATACTGTAAGTTCACCAGTTTTGCCATCAGAGGGCACTGTGATCCTCTCTAGCCAGCTATCATCTTGCTCTTGGAATTGACTCTATCCTTAAGGAAAACACATTCCCCATAATTGTCTGTCTTGTTTAATTTTCCAGGTCTTTATATTCATATCTAGGAAACCTCTAAATGACCCCAGAACACATGGGCTTTTTGTTGACATCTAGAATCCAGTCACCGAGACACACAACAAAATCCAAACATTTGGTTGGGAAAGAGTTAACCACTGTTCTTAGCTAAAGAAAGGGGTACTGCATCTTTGCAGGGACAGTGTCATTCTGTGTGTTTTTAATTTCATTTTTTGCTTGTATTTCTGAACTATTTACCTTGTAAATTTTAACTGGTAACTTTCCCTCCCCTACCCCAAAAGTTTGATGGTGGTCTTGTTGATGTAAATCAGCCTGGGGGGGAGAGGGGAGGTCCTGTCTGGGGGTTGCTGTTCATCACCACTGTCCTCCCATTGCACCTTCCCTTTTAGAGCTAATATTTCTCTTCCACAACTCCTAGTACCTGTTCTGTGTTAATAATACTGCCCCTGGCTACATTTGAAAAATGCTACTTTATGAAAAATCAGTATTTTCCCATGATCTAAACTCAAATTTAGTTTTGTAGTGGCACTCATTTGGCATCAAAGATGCAGGGCTTGCCTCTTTTTTTGATAACTGATTTCTATATGGATGTTTCACTCAGATTGTTGCAGCATCTAGTTTTCAGTGACCATCTTCTATCTGTTCTTTCCCCAGTTGTCCATCTAGGGAAAACAGCCCCTTCCTCTGAACTCATGCTGGAGGTTTTTGTAATGCCTTTTGGTGGGGAGGGAGTGATGTAGTATATGTGGGGACTCTTGTAAAGCTTGACAGCACACCTCTCAAATTGCCCCTTACTTCAGACTAAATTCACCCCTCGTTCCCCATGAGCGTGGGGTCTGTTTTTTCTTTTGTTCTTGTAAATTGATCTAAGAAATTCCGAATCATAAAATTGAGATTATAGAAAGAAATATTTATTACACAACATTATTTTAAGATGCTTGTCCTTTGCCTCCGTCATTCTGACGTAATCCCACATACGACGTTTGCAGGTTGAGAAGTACACTTTGATAGTTATCTGTCAAAATTGGTTGGCTATTCATTAAGTGAGAAATCTCCACTGGGGGGCAGGAGCGGAGTGTGCAAATATAAATGGGTGGGTGGGTGGATGTTCATAACACACAAATATATAAAAATAAATATATTTTACTTAAAATCCTAGGAAGTTTTGTTAGATTCGTGGAGCAGCAGAGGGAAGACTAACTTTGTTAAGTATGAAGGGCAAACGCAAACAGTGGATGTGTGAAACCTCAGTTCTAGCAGAGTGGCTCTTCCCACAAAACTGCTCTAAAAATCAAAATCCAAGGATAATTAAACCCAAAACAGGAGCCAAGTGGAACATACAGCAGGAGTGAGCTTTAACCACTTTGTTAATCACACCAGGAGTGAAAAAAGGGCAGTGAGCACCCTGGTCCCTGTTGACACTGGGAATAAAACAGTGATTTCCCCATCCTGCTTCCAGTGTCCATATCTGCATCACTGCAAGATGGTGATCCCAGTGCCTTTCTTCACCTCAGATAGGAAAACTGTTTGCATCGTTGTGAAACAGCTCTTAGCTGAGTTGTGAAGGTGTCTTTGGAGAGCATAGAGGACAGTACCAATCTTAT